AGATCAGGCACAGTTATGAGCGTGACATGATGAATCAGCCCATTTACGATTCTACTGTGCTTGAACGAGAAATGTCCCCCCTTTGGGAATGGCTTAAAGACACTACAGTCAGTGGCACTGTCCCGGGGGTTCACTTGTGGATGTCACGGGCAGTGTCTTTATAGTTTATAGAGGGGGGGGGGGGGTAGCTGGAAGTAGTTGATTGTGTAGGTGATTGTTTTGTAAAGGTGGTCGTTAGAGAAGGTTGGATTGTTGGATTTATTTTCTGTTGGGGTTTCTTCTTATTGCAGGTGATCTCTCAAGAAGACTTCAAGGCTCTTGTGATAGAAGATGCCAGCAACGTGCAGCAGAGAGAGGAGACGGACAGCATAGACATTGTGGACGAGATCCGCTTCTACATCTCCAGCTTTGTGCTCACCTACAGCGAGATGGAGGAGGCCAATGAGAAGCTGAGGCTGATCGACGACATGTTGGAGGAGTTGGACATCGAGGGATAGAGGGATAGGAACCAGTGGCCAGTGGTGCTAATAACAGGGTTCTTGCGACGTCCTTGAATTCAAGGAGTCCTTGAAAACTCCTTGAATTTGCATACAAGGAAAAATCTCCTTGAAAACTCCTTGAATTTAAGGAACCTCCTTGAAAACTCCTTGAATTTCGCTGGATCGAACATTAACAAAATGTTTGTCTGATTGCTCTAGGTGCACAGTCAAAAACGGCATGAATTTCTTGACCAAATCTCCTTGAAACTTCTTTGAAATCTCCTTGAATTTGGTAGGGAGTTCATGGCAGGAACCCTGCAATAACTATTATACTGGGGGGGGGTGTGGGAAGGAGAGTGAGAGATGTTCTCTTTCTAGACCAATGTTTGCCAACCTGGGCGACCCACCAGTGGGTGATTTATTCATTTTGAATTGATGGGTGGTGGGTAACACCAGGGCAGTGACAGGTGTTGTCTAATCCCCTGATTGAAACATGTGTAGGTGGGTGGTACAAAAATACCAGCCTCTTACTTGTAGGTGGGAAAAGTTGGTGCTGGCTACAAAAAGGTTGACAAGCTCTGGTTTAGACTGATCCGTCTGATATTTACGTGAAAGCAGTACGGTAGTGTCAGGGTCTTAGCTCACCTTTCTCAGCGGATGATTAGGGCTCTTGTTTCCCATTACTGACCTGATGTAACTTTGAAGCGAAATTGGACATACAAAATGCCCATAAATAGACAATAGAAAACACAAAACTATGGAATTTGTCATCTCACTCATTAACTGCTGTGTCCAAAACTCCCCATGCTGTTTGCTAGTATTATTAAGCTGGTGTGGTAGTGCTAAGGTCAAGTATTTGTATAGTCTGATAGGTAGAACGTCATTTGATGTCCAGCCTATAAATCTTTGATCATATGAGGCTTTATTGGTCATTGTCAGACATAGATGGAATAACTATTATTATGATTGTTATCATCAAGCTTGAAAGTTAAATGTGAGGCAGTGTGGTAAAATCAGGCGCTCGTCAAAATAATGAAAGTCAAGAAATTGTCATTTTTCCGCAGGTTATGGAATTATTATTGAATTTCAGTTTTTTGAGTCAACACCTTTCATGCCCTTTAAAGAACACATTTCTGTGTGGATTTTACTGAAAAACGCTGATTAAAGGTATAAAAGATGTTACGTTTCAGTTTCCACGGACTCTCAAGCTAAGGAAAGTTATATAACTCAACTGTGGCTGCCATTTTCTCGCTAATTTTACCTCTGAAACCAGGCGACCCCCGCCTCCTTCAATCGCCAATACCTTAGCTTATATCCAAGATAAATGGATTTTTTTTTTCATCTAAAGCAAGGCGCTTGACTTGTATCCAAGATTAATGGATATTTTTTTTTCATCAAAGGCAAGGCAAACGGATGGCTTTAAGATGGTACCAATAACTCCATATGCCCCAAAATTGACGAGCACCTGATTCCACCGCGTCATGACACAAATTCTCTCTTGGCAAGAATGGGCTTCTCATGAACATGTTTTTTTTACATCCTGGGGCTAGAAACAAGTGTTGTGTAAGAAATTTTAGCTAGAAGAGCCCGGCTCCTTCATTGTGCCATGTTTTAGTTTGTTTAACCCTATCCGTACGTCGTGTTTTACTATCCTATCCATACGACGTGGGGAACTCTGTGCCACCACTTTCCAAAAAGGAAATTTACTCGTTAATCTGATCCGTACGCTTTGCATAGCAGTCTGTTAAAATTATTTTTTGGAGAAATACTTTCAAAGAGATCTTCGTACTAGAAGTATTCTAAAATGTGAAGAATACAACCCTAGGGGTACAAAATGACCCCAGGGCGTACGGATAGGGTTAAGTTGTTGATTTGTTATGCAGGGCTTCTGCGCTACAATTGGCTCTGTGCTGGATTGTGATATAATATTTGTTCAAGTTTATTTTGCCTGTGAAAATTGTTGACGTGATTCTGCTGAGGTGAAAAAAAAAAGCACATTGCGATCCCAATGCTTTCTTGTCCTATCGCCATTTTTTATAACAGTGAAAACGGTTCTTAAAAAAGAGTGAGCTTAAGAAGATGTCACATTTTCACTGTTTTAAAAAATGGAGATACGACAAGAAAGCACTGAGGTCGCGACATGCTGAACAGTTTGCTTGTTCTTGTTGGTTGGGGTGTATTCATCATGGATTATTTTTAATGATCTGCCGTTTTGAATTTGAGTTGTGAATTTATATCCTACCTCTTGCACATGGATGTCAAGATGACATGCAGTTATGATTTCTGTTTTACTTTGCACTTTATTATGTTGAAAGTGGACATTTATGAGCATATGCTTGAAGCTGTGTGGTATAAATGTTCACATCTTTCTTCTCCGGGCTTTGGTTCTATGTTTCGGTAATGCACCCATGGGGCCTTTTTTGTATTTGCACCCAGTCCTCATATACACACCTGTATCATCAAAAAATTTTTTTCATTTATTTATTTATTTGTGCATGTAAGAAAGAGATGTATCTTCAGAAGCCAGTTCTTTATGTTTCTCAACTGGAATCACTGAACTGGTCACAGCGTGTGATATTCTTCTCAACTCTCACTTACAAGATCAGCGAGCGGTTTGCCAAACACTCAAAACTTAAACCTATGTGGGTCCTAAGGCTCTCTGTTCTCCTTGTTCTGATGAATCAGTTGAAGAATCCCAGCTCTGTGTGGCTGTTCTGGTGACCGTAGCAGTGGCATCCCTGTGGTGACTATAGCAGGCTTTTCTTGATATCTTTGATAGCAAATGAAGCAGACACTTTTCAACTTTCCTTCTATATTTATCTGACCGTTTATCTGACTATTTCAACTTAACGATCCCCATGTTGTCTCGCTGTTAACTAAGCTTCAACTATATTTTATACAAAGGCCTCACTACTTATGTCATTATTCCTTGTGAAAATAGTTGCAGTTATTTTAGAAGTAGTCAGTAGTCTAGTGGTTAGGCTACCAGACTCATAATTGTGAGATTGCGGGTTCGATCCTCAGCCCCAACGTTGTGTCCTTGGGACAGGCACTTTACACAAATGTTCCTCACTTCACCCAGGTGGGACTGGGAGCTCGGCTCAGCAAAAGATCTTGCCAGTATGTTCGTGTTTTAGCACCTGTAAAATGACTGCTTGCACTGTATGCTTCCTTGGAAGTTGAGATTGATTGAGAATGCTATCAGGTCTGCTTGGGTAATAATATCGATTGTAAAGCTCATAGATAGAGCTTGTTGTTGAGCAGAACTCTGTGCTGTATATAAATGCTATTTATTATTACTCAGTTACAACTTGCCTAAAGATGTTTTTGCTAGTGCGAGGATGATGTTTGAAAGGGTGACGTGACCTCCGACTCAGAAGCCAAGCCACACCGACCGTGTGAGGGGTGGGCAGATCTCACTTGTTCTGTTTAACATTCTTGTGTTAGTAGCTCTTCAAAAGGGTGTAACACCCCATCAGTTGGAAGGGCTGGAACGTCTATACAATACTGAACCGAGGATAATCTCAATGCTTGCGTAAACACTTTCATTTTTTCGTGGTAGACCCCGGTGAATATTTGTGCCGTGCATAAGTGCTCAAGTTTACTCCATATCACCCCACCCTACCCCCCCCCACCCCCGCGCCAGTAATACTGCCATGTGTTGAAGTTGTATTTGAGGTGTTTCTGTTTTCGCGGTTGTTCTAGAATTTCACTTCCATGCATGATGCATAATTCACACACCATCAAAGTCTGTAATGATGATAGTCAGGGGATGGGTAAAGCACAATGGACCTTTCAGTGAGGTAACCAATGATAAACTTAGTTCTTCTAAAGCTATTGGGCACTCTGCCTTCTCCTCCTTCTGAACTGTCATGTTATTGTTGTATTGTTGTATGTAGCAGTCGCAACGTTTCAGCATCCCCCTCTTCTCTCTGAGTGGGTGGTTGGTGGGTGGGTGCTCTGGAGTGGTTTGCTCCTTCTTTCCTATCAAACATCTATCACCCTGCTCTCTCCTCCTTCTTTTTTGTGTATGTTATTCTCTTGTAACACCTCTAATCTTCGGCACTTGTATGACCTTATTGTGTTGTAAGAGCCGTAAAACTAACGAAAACTAAAGACTTCTCTCTGAACTGTCATGTTACTGTTGCATGTCGCTGTTGCAACGTTTCAGCATCCGGTGTGACCTGAATGCTCAGTAGAGACAGCACTACCAGGACAAATGTTTTATGTGGGGGGGGGTTGTTGTTTTTTCTTTTAACGCTAAAAAATATTGATGACTATTGTGGTTGAAGCTTTATGGCTGCTCTGTTCTTAAACTGGCCAATTTTTGTTTTACGATTATCTCTGGAGGAACAACACAAGACGATCTTAACCGTCACACTGAAGGATTCTCAAGACTGTAAGCGTGATTTGATTTTATAATTGTACTACATCGGCATTGTTTTTTCCCTCACCTCTTTTATGAGCAGAAATCCAAGAGAAGTTAGACTGTGGCATTGATATGTATGCTCGTATGCTTGTTTTAAATTGTTCACTTCTCATGCGCAAGATACACGTGTGTAAACAAACCATTGTCATAGTGTGCTGGCTAATGGCTGGCCTCAGACTCAGATACCATTTATAGTTTGTCTGACAGAGGTGAAGAAAAGTTTCCCATTTTATGTCACAAATTGCAGAAAGTGATATTGTGACCTTCTTTTGCGTTTTATTTTGGTTTTTACTTTGGTTTTTATCACAAGTCCTGAGACTGTGTTATACTACTGTGTTGTCCACCTCAGTCACAAGTCCTGTGATGAACTCTGTGGTGTCCACTTCTCAGACATGGTGCTGAATAGGATCTCCTTTGGCACATTTTTTAAAGTCTGCATGTATGCTTTTCTTTCTACCTATAGGTCTATGTTGTATCTTTTATATGAGTTTCTGTAGGCATGATCAATGTTTTATATCTCTACAACCGATGGCTGACAGAACTGTTGCATATATTTTTTAAAGGTGTCGTATGAAAAGATGAGTGTTTTTTTCTCTGAACCTTTGAATTTCTTAACTAGCTTGCCCTTCTATCTTACTTTTGTATTGCAGTGCTTCCACAATTCTTGTAAATACAGTACTTTTCAAGTTGCATATTGTTTGTTGCTTCAGTATATTGAATTTCCTCCACAAAGTTTTATGTGGAGAGAGAGGCAACAGGTATATATTGCACATCTATCGTTTTTATCTCCTCTCCTTCTATTTTGTGTTTGTTACTCTCTTGTAACACATTTATTCTTCAGCACTTATATGACCTTATTGTGTTGCAAATGCCGTAACACTCTTACTAAAACTTAACAGACTATGGCATCTGTGACATGATGCTGATGATGTGAGCTCAGCAAACAACTCCTTCCTCACACGTCATGAAAGCACAGGGTAAATGCTCTTTGCTGTAACATTTACCGAAAATATCAAGTGTCATTATTCACATAGTCTTAATTTTAGTATTAGTAAGAGTTTTACGGCACTTGCAACACAATAATGTCATATTAGTGCCGAAGATTAGAGGTCTTACAAGAGAGTAACAAACACAAAAATCAAGGAGGAGAGATAAAGACGATAGATGTGTGATAGGAAAGAAGAAGCAAACCCCACCAGAGCACCCGCCAACTACCCATATTCATCCTTGTACTGTGAAGATGGAGCTGAGGACATATCTATATATATCTCTCCTCTCTCTTTCACCCACTCATCCATTATCTAACAAAAACAGTCACCGCTGAAAAAATAATAACACTGACGACATACTTGTGAACATTCTATGGGTTGTATTTCACTCTTCATTGTGGTCAACAGAGCTGTACATGATACATGTGTTTATTTACAACAAGTGAGAAATGATATGGAGCAGCAAGGGCCCAAACCCTTCTTTCATCATCAACTGAACACAGGATAGCCTCATAGAGTAACATTTTTCATACAGACTTAATGCCATTAATAAAACAATTCTTTAAAAAACATACCGACGACAACCTGAACAGACCGAACAGACACACATTTGACAAACTTTGCATGATGCGATATTTGAAATGCCGAGAGTAGAGCGTAAAAGTCACAGAATACTCAAGTGAGAGTAAGTGGATATGCGCTATATAAATGCAATCCATTATTATTATTTCATTATTAAGTCGAACAGTAAGCAAAACATTTAAGTCAGCAGTCGTAAGGAAAAAAACCTGCACTGTAACATAAGTTGACTTGTCAAAAACTAAAGCCCTCCAACATGCTTCTTGAAAAAAAACTGGTTCAAGAACATTACAGGAGACATAAAACATGTTTTCAATAATAATACCAATGATGCAAGAAATGGCAACTACTCCAATACTCAAAAAAAAAAAAAAATTCAAACCACTGCTATAAATCGCCATCAAGTACATTTTCCCCCCACATATTTTGAGCTTAATGCAGAAGGTCTTTCACCTCTGTTATCTTATTCTAATGCCTCAATATATAAATTGCCACTGTCCCTTGGAAAAAAATCTGCTTGACTTGACACCGCCTCCTTTACTACATCGGTGATAATGTAAGCACAGGAGATGCCAGTCTTCAATAGGAAGCCAAGTGTTAATATCAAATCCAAACCCGTGGCAAAGTAAGCCAATCACCTTCCCATTGCTGGTTCAGTGAAGTGTACAGAACAATGTACTGAGGTCTACTTTCTATTGTTCTACGAAATCTTGCCTCAACAAGATTAAAAAAAAAAAAAAAAGAAACTGATACAAAAAAATTCCAGAGCTACAAACACACATCTCTCTTCACTTATTTCTAGATTCATTCCCCATTAAAACAATAAGTAGTCTGAAACTTGGCTACTTGTTCTGAGAAAAGCTTGATCTCAAAACTTTCACTTTACACACTAAATGCAGTTTGAAATTATAAGAAAACGGAGGTAATACATTGAATCTTTTCTTCACAAAAAAAAATAATTGGGAGAGCATAAATAAAAGTGTTTCTACAGATCATGTTCGCTGCTACTGATTCTCAGACCGCAAGTAAGTACGCAGAAACCACACAAGCACATAACGGCTACACAAAAACAGTAGATAAGCTTAGCACCAGGGAAGAACAACTTAGGGGGATGTTAGTTAAAAGCAACATCAACGGGGATGTTAGTTAAAAGCAACATCAACAGGGATAGAGTTTTTCATCTACGTAACCATTTGCAAATTGTGAAGGAGACCATTTAAGCAGTACCACTCATGAATAAAGTCAAGGTTATAAAAACATAAGCTGAGCACACAGCTACGCAAGCATTTAACTTGAGAAAAGATATATATCTAACTGACCTAATTTAAAGCCTCAGTCGAGTATGAAATGTTTCATACAGGAGGTGTGAACTATCATCTCCAAATTTCTCTCAAAACTTGACATTTGTATCAGTCTGCTCTATAGTCAGGACGAGGTAGATTGAAATACACAGAACTTCATACACAGCTGTTCAGAGTCACCAGGTCTGCTAAGTGGCTTGTTAAAACATAATGCCCGTTCAGTAAATCACAGAAATGCTATTACAAAGGATGAAAATATAAATGCATAAATTCCCCTTTCATCAGTTTCGCGTCTGCTCGTAATATTGTGAAGGGCTACACAGCAAAACCTGCCATATCCAAAATTCTTGACCAGAGAAAACTAAAAAAAAAAATTTCAAATAAAAATTTATTTTTTTTTCAAAAAGGTTTCGTAAAACTGTAAATGCAACCAAAAAAAAAAAAGTAAATGCAGCTGCAGAAGTCATTTCTGACAAATTTGTTATAAAGACGATAACACTAAAAGGTAGGTGTGGCACAAAACTCACCTTTGTCAATTCTAGAATTTACTACAAAGTATTTTGCCGTGGAGTCCTTCATTTATCAAAGGCAGGAAAGAAGCTCTCAGCCCTACACTTGCTCGAGGACTCGCTTCATCCAGTCCCCGGCCACCTGTTGAGGTTTGCGTTTCTCCATGAGTCTGTCTGACACGGCCGTCAGCTTGTAGCTGTTGCGGCGCGTGTACATCTGGGCATCCAGCTGCATCTGAGCCATTTTCTCCGGTCGAATTTCGTCTAACATGAATTCCTCCGACAGGTAAGGGTTGAAGCGGAAATATGTGCGGGCTGGAAGCAGGTCTTGTAGAGTCTGGTGGACGGCTGGAACAAAAAACAAAACAGTCGGTTAAACACAACATAACAAGTTTTTAGTTGTCAAGTGGTTTACAGCTGGGCGGCATGATAACAGTCATGTTTCATCAGATGTGGATGAGGATATTAAGGACACTTGGGGGGGAAAAAAAACTTTTTTTTTAAAATGGAAGGAATCAAACCAAAAAAGGCTACCAACCAACAGGTCATATATGGTCGCTTTTAAGCACAAGAAGGCTTTCCCGAAAAATGCTGTTTTGAGAAAATCGAAGGTAAAGTTTTTGGACCCTTGTTCATTTTTTTTTTAAAACAAGGAGAGTTTTCTCTATAACTAAACAAAAATAAAACTTCTCCTCTAGGTAGATTTGGTGTAGGTCAGAATTTCTGGAAACCCCCAAAATCTGGGTTAGCCTGCTTGTTCTTAAAAACAACCATATAATGTTTCTATCAAATGTGTCAGGGCCAACCCCAGCCCATAGGGATCTAACATCCAAGCAAACCCACAGAAATACTCGATAAACAAACCTCCCCATACTCCAATTGAGCTCAAGCATTCTACATACAACGGCCAACAGCCAAAAAACACCACAACAGAAGCCAGTGTACAGGAACAAAACTCAGAAACACATACTGAGCTTTTAACCAACCACTGTGCTATTCTATTTCCAATAAAATATTTTTCCCCCACAAAAAAATAAGCAGCCCCTGGGGTTTTATGCACCCCGCATAACTTAGCAAAATTTGATCATTTTTGGCATAATTTCTGATTATTTTCCTTTATCATTCTTTGTGAAAATTAACAGAATCACATAATTTCACATTTTTTTGGCTCAGTTTGAATAATTTCAGAATTTTTGTGCATAAAACCACGGGGACAGAATGAGAAGTAGTCATACCTTCAGTATCTGTGGCACTGTCAACGATGGTTGTGATTTTCCGCTTCAGGGACATCTTTGCTGGGGTCTCACTAATACTGCTATTGTCAAAACGTCCGGTGCCCAGGGAGACAACGCAGTGAAAGTTTTCCTTGGGCCACAGTAGTCTGCTCTCGTGAATTCCTAGTGCCGTTGGGTTGTTCGTCAAAATGCCACCATCCTGTAGGCAGTTTCAAAAAGACTAGATTTAGACAATCATAAAAATGTTACAGACTCACATATTCTGAAAGAAATCTTTGATACACAAGATAGCAATGGTTTGCGTTGACATGAAATCACAAATAAAATTAATTTTGAGCTCGATAAAAACCAGTGGCATCTGAAGACACAACACACTATTTTTTACCTTTTTCTCAACATACAGTCCCATGACTATGAGTACGAGAGTTTAAGCAGAAAATTACCCAGCTTCATTCAAACTTGGATTCTCACTGCACACGAGTAACCAACCAAAAGAAACACTAATAAATTTAACATACTTCATAAAATCACAGTAAGAGGGAAATTTTCATGGCTACTTCTCCAACGACAATGATGCAGGGTACCAATTGACTCCTGAGACATTGCTAAAGCAAAACAAGTTACCAAGAGACATTTTTTTAAAACCAATTTTCAAAAGCCACATAAGACTCAACTGTTGAAATGACTGGGCTCAGGGGGTTCAACTCTGGGCTGGTCTTTAGTGAGTTCATAGGCTGTAAAGGACAGTTTTAGTTTCAGTGTTTTACGGAACTTGCAACACAATAAGGTCATATAAGTGCCGAAGATACGAGGTGTTACAAGAGTTTTAAAAAAAAAAAACAGAAGGAGGAGAGATAAGGACGATAGATTGTAGATAGTAATGAAGAAGAAAACCACACCAGAGCACCCGTAAACCACCCACTGTAAAGGACATTGACACAAAGCACAGGACAGGCGTCAGAACCACAGTATTCACCTCATGGACTTCATCACCCAGTTTGAAAGACTCAAAATAGCCCGGGGCAGCGGACGAGGCGCGGACGACCTCCCAGACTTTGTGTCGACAGCTGCCAGGGTACTGTGAGGATGCGCCAGGGGGGGTGTTGTAGGTGCGGAACAGGTGGCTGCTCATTCGCTGCGAGTTCATCAGTGAGGAGATGGCAGATACTTTGGGAACGTCAGGGTCCCTGGCAAACTCTATCAGTGATTTCTCACCCATTTCTCGTCTGGAAAAAAACAGAGCTACAAGTTACAAACGTGTTTCATTGAGTCAAGATGTGTAACATATTATTTTTCCAAGCACGGTCTGTTCTATACTCTTAATCTTCATATCTTAACTCTATCGGTGATTTCTCACCCATTTCTCGTCTGGAAAACAAAAAACAAACAGAGCCACAAGTTACAAACGCGTTCCATTGAGTCAAGATACGTAACATATTATTTTTTCAAATACGGTCTGTTCTAAATACTCTTAATCTACATATATATCTTTTAAAAAAACATGAGCTGAATACCAGATGTAGATTCATTGAAAGATTTTTCAAAATAAATTTGCTAATTTTAAATAAAAACTCTGTTTTCAAAATACTGTCACAACTCTGAAGTCAATACTCTAATTGCAAATCAACAACTTTGAAAACAAATCAGTAAGTGAAAACAGTAAACATTTTATAAAATTGATCGAATATAGTTTATCGAATTGGTATCACTGCAACAGACTTTGGGACATAAAAGGAACATTTTTTTTTTTTAAAAGAAGAGAAAAATATCTCCATGACGAAGTAAGTAGTTGTCTACAACCAATCACCTGATAAAGGCCACGTTATGCCAGGGACAGGACTAGGGTACAAGTTTCCATCAAAAACAAGAAATAAGAAGGAACTGCAAACATTATGGCAGGGGCTCTTGTGGCCTAGAGGTTAAGGTGTTCACCTCTCATTCAAAGGTCCTGGGTTCGAATCCCGGAAGCGACCGAAAAATGTTCTTCTCTAAAATTGTCTCTTTTCACCTCATTTCCTGCTCTCTAACAATGTTCTGTCGTCTGCTTTCGTCTCCACCATGCAGTTGCGAGCCCCGTAAAAGACTAACCAAAAAAAAAAAGAAGAAAAAAACCCACCATGGTACCCACCAACCACCCATAAAAGAGACACTAGTGAGGAAGAGGCTACAACTTACTTCAAGATCTCCTCCCAAGACTGCGAGTCGTAGAAGCCGTAACTCCACACCAGCTTTGTGGTGCCCAGCACCCTGTTCCTGGTGAACATCTGAGTGGAGCAGTCTTTGTACAGTTCTTCGCACCGATCCAGGGGGAGCTTGTACAGGCAGATGAGGATGGCCAGCAGTGCACCGGTGCTCACTCCGCACACATAGTCAAACAGTTCGTGAATCTTGCGGCCACTTTGTTTCTCGAGTGCTTTCAGAAACTCTATCGTCACAAGGCCTCTGAAAACAAACAGCATGACACAAAACACAAGTCAATTATTAATTATCAAGTACAAAAATCTGTAATGGCAAATAATCAATCAATCAATGCTTAACTCTTTATCTCACATACCAGGACAAAAAAAAGAGAAGATTGCGCTTTTCAAGTTTCAAATAGAAAACAAGGAAGGAAAATAATATGCTACTACATTCAAGCCCATGAGGACCACTTCTTATCAAAATATCAGTCATATTCATTTCTAAAAGATTCTTACACTTTCATACACTGCAAAACATTCCTTATACAGACCACAGCCTACACTGCAAAATATTTCTTATAGAGGCCATTGCCAACATTATCAGCCACTACAGTGCAGAATCCTTTTAAGCTACAGACAACATCAAGTCAATTCCTCCTCCAGGGAATTCAAGGTCTACAAACTAAAAGGCCATTATCACTCACACAAACACGTTCGCAGCATGTTTCCACTAAAAAAAATCGTCTAATTGGAAGTCTAAAACACTTAATTAAACTTTTTTTAAAATTTGATTCTACCACAACAAAACAAGAATAGTCAAACAATAAATTACTTCTTTTTATTCCAAACATAAAAATTGTGCCACGATACATAAACTGAAATATTTCAGTAGGCATGCAACAACTTCTGACTCAGTTCTACTGACCGTGTGCCTCCACCGTCGATTGACAGAACTCTGATGCCAGGGGCAGACAACGGCTTGACATGGCCGAGGAGGGAAAGGATTTCATGGGCGAGACCTTTCAGAAGTTTGTCGGGAGATGCTGTCAACTTCTTTACGCAAGGTACAGCTTTTTCCTACAGCAAAAGAGAAACAAATGACACTTCAGTCGAATATTCATTTTAAAAACATGTTTAACATACACCCACTCTCCTTAATAAACTGGACGCATTCTGAAACAAGTTCCCTTCATAAAAACTCCAAAAAAGCAACAAAAGCACAATTAATGAGACTAAAATTCATATGAAAAGGTTGGTGTGTGCAGATGTATGTATTTGAGTGTACAAGTGTGCATTTAAGTTCAAACTACTTCCTCAATTTATTCTCTCTCTGCATTTTCCAACTACCCACTCTGAGAAGTAAGTACTTCACACAATGTGTCATAGCTGTAGAGATGGTAAAAAGAGATATAAATAATGAAATGAAACTCATGACAAAAAGTAGAAACGCCTTCATGACTTTAAACAAAAAAATTACTTCAGTCAGCTCTTTATGTTTTGCTTGCTTATAACTAGTCATCTCATCATCTCTCCAGTTGAAAAGGACCCAGACATATCTTAACAAAGTTTGGAAGGATCAAAGATAATATAAATAATAGGACACCATTTTAAAAGATATAGAAAACATCAACATGACTGTCTGTTCACATAAATTTCCTGTAAGCTTTACAAATCATAAAGAACAAAAAGACATTAAAAAATGTGTCTTCACTTGTGCCTGAGTGCAAAACAAATCGACATACAAAATAAAAATGAGCAATGACTTACAGAGGCAGCGTCCCACACACACTCGGGGTGAGCAATGAGGTGCTCACACAGCTCCTCTGCTCGTGTGATCTTGGACATCAGAGAATGAGCAGACTTCAGGGACTGTACCAGAGCTTTGGTACGAGATTCAAGGGAAAGCCGAGAGATTTTCTGGGCGCGTCGTGCCTCTGCCCGCTTTTTCTTCATTTCTGCGGGCAAAACTGTGGGGAAAAGAGGTCCGATGGTCTGTGGGGTGTCTGCAGAAACTGAATCATCATCAACTGACTCTTGCATAGCGACGCCTCGTTGTATCATGTTCTCCGCCTGATGGGGAGCGTTGGTGGCACAGGATGTGTCGTAGAATGATATAATGCTTTGGTTCATCTGAGTGAGAGAATGTTCTAGGGAAGACGTTTGATCTGTGGGTACAGATTTCTCTTCCATGGTCGAATTAGAGCTGGTCCCGTTACGATTCAAAGGATTCCGAGAACTGAGAAATTTCTTTGAAGTATCTGCAAAGTATCTGTTCATCTCAGCAATTCTAAGAGGGACAGTGGCACCCAAAGAAGAGAAATTTATTTTCATCCTGTCTTTTTTCTCCTCTGCGGGAGGGGAAGCCCCAAGAGGAGACTGGACATTTAAATCATCGGAGGACTTTTCTGTCCTGTGAGCATCTCCAGCTCTAAAACGCCGAGAAAAAGTTGAGGAAAATGTCCCAAGATGGCGATGACTTTGTGACGTGTCCTCCTCTTTGCCAGAAGCGAACTTTGCATGCCCAGGGTAGGCATTGGAAGCTAAACACTGGGGATGGATGCCCCTCAGGCCTGCCTGCAGCTTCAGCACAGACATTGAGAGCACTGTAAAGTAAAGAAAAAACCCCAAGATATTAGTGATAGATTTTCATATATAAAAAGTAAACCATACAGCAAAACTGTTAAACAAGTCATTTCTCACATGCACAAAAGCCAGTATTTACATTTTCACACACTGTAAGATAGTACATTGGTCGACTCTGAACTAAGCTCCACAAGTTTTAGGGAGGCTTATGAGCATTATAAAGTGTCTGCAGTCATGCTGCACACAAAAAATTACTGAAACTACATATGGTAATACAATCTAGGAAACTAATGAGCAATATAGTCTGAATTGTTGATTTTTTTCTGCTTCGTGAGTAGGGTAAAGGCGATGGTTTTCAACAGTTAAATAGTTTAAAATGAGCCTGAGAGGCAATAGATGTATAAATAATGCTGCAGTTATAATTGATAAAATCATTTAAATTGGTTGTGTTAGAAATAGAGGGGGGGGGATTGTCACTTGCTGCCAGGCTTTACCACTGCAAAAATGTTTTGTCTTCACTACACCGCAAAATGAAGCAATCCCTCAAATTACACACATTAAAATTGTAAACAACACGTACTGACTAATCTAACACACAAAATACTCCCAGAACTATCATTATGGGAGGGCTTCCGTAACGAGTGATCACTATGAGACAGAGTAGAATTACAGAGGGGTAGGGGTAGGGGTAGGGTTAGAGGTCGGGTTACGTCTCTTCTTTATTGTGTTTTTAGGGGTGGTCGCTCATTACAGAAGTCCTACTAGGCCCCATCATTATTCTATTGTGCTGCATATTATTGTCGTAAGCGTGGCCAATCAGAGGACTAACATTATAGACAGCAGACCGCAGTCGACACAGCATGACTTGAAGTTGACCACTCTATCATGGCAAACCAGCAACTAAACCAGCACCCAACAACCTGATACAGTTGACCTTTAATTCTCTCTTCCCTTTTCAATCAACAAAATGCCTTCTAAAATATAGTGGACCCTCATGTCATTGACAAGAATTCTGTTGTAGCGTAGGCTAGTCGTGACATCCATCATAATGATAATTTGATATGTTAACAACTAGAACTAGATCTAGAATATATTGCAAAAATTATATTGAACAAGGACAGCCGCATGCATGTTGTTCTGTTAAAGAGAGAAGTAGGCCAAGTTTAGTAATTCGGTCGAAGAGCCCACTACCACCACTGGGCTGACACTAATTTTAACAGACTCTAGAGAATTATCTTACCTCTAATCCTCTAACCCAAGGCCAAGGCGATTTTCACAGAGCTCTCTGACAGCAACTAGCACCAGAATGAGTTTCACAGAACGTCAGGTCTCACCGCACTAGTTTATTTGCTGAAACGTTCTCGTAAATAAATAATAACGAGTAAAACACAAGTCTTACAAGCCGTTCTGGCGTTCACTCAGCAACAGTGACTGGCAACGCTACGGCGGCTACGGTGTGTAACAGCAGCACACTGCTTCTCTGCTTACCAAGTTAGCAGACGGGCACCTATTACACTCTTAAAGTAAGGAGTCTGTGTATCAGTTCGAAATTCACACTGTAGCGATAAAGAACGAATTCACGATGAGCAAAATATGGTTTCTGATTTAAGGACACGTAGATCTATTGGGGGTGTGTATTTCACACATCACAGGCCCACCCTGGGAGCTTTATTTTTGTTGTGGTGAATCAGATCACTACCGTCGGCTCTCATGGCGTGATAAGAAACCCCGACGTAACGCGACGTGTGATTGGTTAATCCCTGGCCCGATACAAAATGACGTAGGCGAACTGCAGTCATGCGATGTTTCTGCTTTCCGACGTTCCCCACCCAAACACTCACTTCTATTATCAGGAGTAATGAAAGAACGGGTGTTAAAGCTACAATAAACTTATTGTAATCACAAACAGAATTACAGTACGACTGAATAATTTACTGATCGTCTCAGCTACCCGGTGCTCCGCTTATCTTGAACGGATAGCTCAAGTCCCTGACCAAGAAATACAGCCAATAAGGAAATAAGATTCCCGCACGCCCCCGTTTTTCACCAATCAAAACAGGTGTAAGTTTGTAAATACCACACCGTCTGACCTGATAACCTTTTAGCACACATGCAGCTACACGTGAAAGAGGTCAGCGTCTGGTCTAGACTCGAGACGGTCACGCATGTGATTTGATCACTGTCCTGGAAAACGGCCCAATTTCACAAGGCCACAAATGCCTTTCTTTCCCATTATATATATGCGTTTGGACCTCATACCCACACAACTTGAAATCAATCAGGAAAGACCGAAGAATCAGTGGATTAAACGCTTACAGTTACACTACTAGGCTACTGTAGGCCTACAAATTACAGGTCAACTGAAGAGGGCATTCGAACCCCATGCTAGAATATGTACAGATTATACTGCGCCGCCGTTGGCGCTCTCTACTAACAAAATATACAGCAGATGATTACATTGCTAGGTCATTGAGAAGACTTTTTCTAAAGATAGTAGTTTTGAGATTGGTGATATTAACTACACGTGATCAGAGCAGATGGTTGCGATTACAAGGCCAACTGTACGAGAACATCCGATTTTCACACACCTGTCTTGTGGCGTGATTCAATATTGGGAGTGGTATCGCGCTATGCCACGATGTCTACAATGACGAAACACCAAAACAAATATATGTGTGACCTGGTTTGATGGAGCTTAAAATATACCATAGTTATTTTTACTTTATGATCGGGTGATAAAAACATCATGGTTTGCGAAATTCTCCACAAAAAATCAACCCACCTCCACTTTTAACCGCCGTTTCTCATTACCATATATATTATTATTATCTGCTGCTATTTATTCAATTTTAAAAAAACAAAAAAACTAGGTGTTAACAAGTTAGATTTTTACCTGTCTGTTATGTCACTTTAGAGAAATTAAAAAGATTTAGTAATTATGTGTATACAATATTGGTTTAGTATTCTCTTTTTACATGATGGTTGGGTTATTTAGCCTACTTGTTTGTTGTTGTTGGGTTTTTTCACCATTATTATTGTTGTTTGGGTTTCTTTGAGGAAGGGTAGATGGGATGGGGTGGTGACGTGGGGATACGGGAAGGTGGGGATGATAATTTAAAACGCTTTTAGGGAGATGATTTATGGTTGGCACTAATTAATTACGAAACTTTTTTTAAACTACGAAAGAGAAATGAGGAACTTTTCTCTTGTGAAAGTTAATTAGGCTAGATACAGATACAGTCAACCGGAAGTAAACAAAAATATCTCTAGCGGTAGCAAAGTACACAGTGTTGACTGTCGTGTTCCAACACAGACAAAAGACTTGAAAAGTGAATCACGAAAGCTGACGCTGACAGTGTGTCAAGTGTCAATACTGAAGTATTCTTCTCCTGTTTTTTGCTGAAGTGGTAATCATTCTAACTTGCCCCCTTACCGACAACTCTCACAGCCCCTCTGAACATAATGATATCACTGATTGGCACATCATATTCATATTGATATGATAATTGTTATTGGACTCAACTTTTTTACTTCTTCGGGTTAATGATTGGTCCTCATTCGTCATTAGAATAATTGATCATATAGACTAGAATCTAGTAATTTTGTTTAGGAGTTCACTTAAGTTTAGGATAGGGTAGATGGAAGGACTTCCGTAACGAGCGACCACCCCATCAAACACAATTATTCACAATAAAGAAAAGGCCTAGACCTAACCCTACCCCTACCCCTACCCTTACCCCTACCCCTACCCTAAGTGGCCTAAGCCCTCAATTCTGCTCTGTCTCATAGTGGTCGCTCGTTACGGAAGTCCTCCCGGGTAGATAGTTTATTTTAAGGCCTGTCTAATTGATGAATAAAAAGAAAAACATTTGCCCACCCTGATAAAATCTTGTTTACGTTTTTTTACAGAAGGAATCCTTTCCGAGCCACCGTTATGAAATTAATGGAAAGAGGCAGAGGGTGTAGGTTAAGATTAAGGCTTGGGTTACATTAAGGTTTGGGTTACAGCTGGGATTAATATAAAGTCCTTTATTTATTGTGTTTGTTGGGTTAATCACTCGTTACGGAAGTCCTTCCCAGTTTACCAGTCTGACTTAAAGTGGTAGTCTTTATTCACAAAAATTATGTTAAGTTAAAGTAACCCTCACCCTGCTCTGTACCTTTAAAACAATTAATTTTCCTTCCTATTCCTATGATTCTGACATCCCCACACTTCACCTTCAGCAATATTGTAATTGAATACACTACCAGAAGAGCTTGTTCACTTTCATCTCTGTCCGCCTTTTAAAAAGTTTTTCCCAACCCTTTGAGAAATCTGCTACAGAACAACTACACCTGCTAGAAGAGCAGAGAGCAGTTTGACATTGAAGAAAAGAAAAAGAAGAAATAAATATATATCAACGGACACAAATTTGTTCTCTGTACCCAAGGTTGTTTTGAACTTGGAGAAGAAGCTGATAAGTAGAAGCAAAAGCCCTAGATTCAGAAGTCACTAATTAACTCACTTCAAGGAAGTGGGGAAAGGGTACAAAAAGAGCAGCAAACCAAGAGATGAGTATGATACCCCAAGAGGAAAGATTGCATGGATCTGTTGGCAGATTCATGATTTTGACAAACAAAAAGGACCAGCCTGGGGCACACAATGTTCTTGTTGTGGTGGACGAGATTGTGCCATGAAAAAATGTCCACTTGGGGTTAAGTCCAAAGATGGGACAAGAAGTAAAGAAAACTTGTGCTACAGAGAGGAATCATGAAACAGACTAAGGAGCCAACAGACTAGGTCAGCCAGATGGCAGACACTGAGGAGGTGTTGGCTCAACCCAAAGCCTTCTCAACATCACAACTCTGAAAGACGAACACAAAATGCTACACTTTCAATGATATCTTGCCAAAGTTCAAACATGCAGAAAATTAATTTACGCAGCTTTATGTTGCTGAAGCCTTTTAGCGTGTGAAACTAGATGGGAATTTAAGTTATAACACCAACCATGATCACAGCAATGGAGGAAGTAAGGTTGACAGGGCTCCCATTTGGTCTCAATGTCTTCAGCGAAATAGTTCACAGTTGTCAATTGCCAGGTGGTCTTTGGAGGCATCACAGGTGAAGCAGAATATCAATGGACTCTATTTTGTTTGTTGGTGTTCTGAAGATTTACTCTTTTGATGTTTCTTGAAGTGTTTTGTTATTTGTTTTGATTGGAGGGGGGGGGGGGGGCTGTAATTTTTGTTAGGACATCATGAAGAATGTGTAAAATATTGTAGTGCATCAAAACAGTTTACATGTGTAAGAATTTTCCCCTTTTTACTTTCAGCTCAGCAATTTGCCTGTCAAAATGGCTGGAAATGAGCAAGGGCTGTTCTCAGATATTGAGTTTGAGAAAGCCTGCGATGAGCTCGATGTTCCGGACGTTTCAGGCTGGGAACATTTTGTAGAGTCTCAGGGAGTCAAAATTTACAGACTGTATGATGAGGTTCGTAATTTTTGTGAAAATATTAACTATTTGTTCATTTTGACTTATGAATTTCAGTCTCTCTTCTTTTGTTTCCAAAGTCGTAATTGTACTCTACTGCACTCATCACTCACATTTGGGGGTTTATATGATGTCATTGGTAGGTCTTACTTGACTAGTGTTATTTCCTTCTGGTGTTCCTGCACGTCTGTTTTGCTTTTTCCCTGCACTGAATGACCTTGGTAAATTGTGTTGATGTGCTTCTCTTTACTCAAGCAAAACTTTTATCAACCACTGTTTCGTAGATGATTTGCTCATACATATATATATATATTCATTGGATAACATTTTTGGAATTGGCTTACAGGTTAGCCTTTATTCGTAGGTTGTGTACTCATTAATCCAATCCGTACGCTTTCCATAGCGGTCTGTCAAAATGATTTTTTGAGAAATACTTTCATATGGATAGGGAAGACTATTTCTGACTCTAACTTCCTTTTCTGTCTCACCTCTCGTCTCACCAGACTTCAGGCTTGTACCAGTATAAAATCTTTGGGGAGCTGGATGATGTCCCCCCTGATGTGTGTGCCAAGGTCTACATGGATCTGGAGTACAGAAAGGAGTGGGATTCTTATGCCAAAGGTTCGTACTAAAGCGGAAAATGTCAAGCAAAACATTTTTGGCAGAATAGCCTTTAGAGCAAAGCTGCAAATTGTAACATTTCAATGCATTTCTTAAGGACAAAAGTAATTTAATTAGACAATGTTGTATTTGACAATCACATACTGTTGAAGGATTCTTCAGGCTAACTGTTGTTTGCTGCCAGTGATTCTGTCATCGATGCTGTATGTTGTGAAATTTTGGAGTGAAGCAATATGAGCATGTAAAGGAGTGTGGCAATGATTTAGCACTCCAAATTTATAATATTTGTTTGAGATTTAGAAAGTTGAATAGTTTTATATGGAATGGAGAAGAAGACAAACAGTTTTAAGGCAAAACTAACTGATATGAAAAAGAAAATTGCAATATTACAAAGATTGAAGAAGGTGGTTGGATTTTCTGATTGTTTTTATGTTGTTGTTTTTTTGTTTTTTCTTGTGATAAGAGTAAGGATTATAGGTCAGCTCCTTTGGCTCTTTAGAAAAGGAAAAAACAAACTTACCTGCAAATTTTAAAAAATGATTCATGTTTCTGCTCTTGTTTCAAAATCGTGGTTTGAAAGTGATTTTTAAAAATATTCATCTTAGATTGTATGTATTTTTTATTCCCAGAATTGTTTGTGAAAGAATGTGAAGGAAGGAATCTGATCTACTGGAACATCAACTTTCCCTTCCCTCTATGGAACAGAGATGTATCCTTTTCCTGATTTGTTCATTTTAGATTAATGGTGTGTTGTGGTTGATATTCAATGCAGGAGGAAAAGGAGCGACACAGCTGTTTTCAGGTCTCACTTTGCTTTTGTTTTGTTTTGTTTTGTTTTAGTAAGTGTTTTATAGCACTAGCAACACAACAAGACCATTTTCGTAAGTGTTGAAGAAAAGAGTCATTACTAATGAGTAACAAGCACAAAAAAGTAAGAGGAGAGATAAGGATGATAGATGTTTGATAGGAAAGAAGGAACAGACCACACCAGAGCACTTGCCAACCACTCACTTCTGCTTTCAGAACAGAAACAGATAGCAGTTTGGGGTTGAGACTCTGGAGCACCTTTAAATAATTTTTCCAAGGTGGATGAAGATATGAAATCAAAAGTTGAGTGTTTCTTGTTTCCATTAGAGTCCCATTTTATTGAAATAATGGCACTGGTTCTGGGTATTGTGGGGTTGATTTTTTTTAATGATGACTCGTGTTATAGAGCACTTGGCTACAACATCATGTCTTGATTCCTCATGATCATTCTGACTTGATGATATTGTTTAGTTCATCACAAGTTCATGACTGATTTCTTCTTGTGTTTCCCGGGGGGGGGGGTTCCTTTTGCTTATTTTACAACAAAGTTGTTTTTTTAATCCCTATTCTTTGCCTTCCTGATACGATCATAACCTAATGATGTTAGTAGTCACAGTGCTTCTTTGCTCGTTTACAATCTTTGTTGCGTTAAATAATTATTTTTTTCTCCTTGTTCCTTTTTTATGTTGAGATGTGCAACATTTGACGCTCTGCTACAAATTTAGGATCAAGTGAAAGGAATGAGCCATACGGTACCGCTGAAATGTTTTTTCTTATCTAGTCCAGTACGTGTTTGGTCGAGAGTACCGTGAGATGGAGCAGAACGGTCGCAAGGTGTGGGCTGTGCTGGCCAAGTCCATCGAGACGCCCTCTGTGCCCGAGAGAAAAGGACTAGTCCGAGTCAGCGACTATCTACAGAGCGCAGTCATGTGCTCCAACGGCAAGCAGGGATCCAGAGGTGAGGTGTTAGTAGGTTATTCGCGGGTGCTCTCTTGTGGTTTGCTCCTTCTTTCCTATCGAACATCTATCGTCCTTATCTCTCCTCCGTGGATGGTTGGCAGGTGCTGGTGTGGTTTGCTCCTTTTTTCCTATCAAACATCTATCGTCCTTGCCTCTCCTCCTTCTTTTTTATGTTTGCTACTCTCTTGTAACACATCTATTCTTTGGCACTTTTATGACCTTATTGTGTTGCAAGTGCCGTAAAACTCTTACGAAAAAAACATCTATCGTCCTTATCTCTCCTCCTTCTTTTTCGTGTTTGTTACTCTCTTGTAATTCATCTATACTTCGGCGCTTATATGACCTTATAATCTGGGGTTAAAAAGTCTCCTGTTAATTTCCTTCTGTTTTTGGTTGTTTTCCTTTTTTCTGCTTTTTAAAGGAAAATGAATTTCTCATAAAGATATGACCTTACTCCTTTCATAGCTGCTTTCAGTTTCAACCAAAGTGAAAATTTTGTCACAAAATAATCGTTTTCAGTCCTTTTCAAATATTTAACACAGTTAAGACAAACTATTTATGATTTTGTAACATCTCAATGTAGACCATATAGTTTTTTTTTAAATCAGCTCTTCTTCCAATGTATCCTTTAAGTCATTCAAATTAATTTGTATCATTATCCTTGAAGTATTTCACGTTATGGGCCCAGGTTCCAATTCTTTCTTTTTCAAACCAAAGTAGAACAAGGTACAATTTTTTAAAAATTTTTATCGATAAAAATAAACATCTGTCCCGCTCAAAACAGAAATGACAAATGTCAGTCTCTGGTTAAAGAATATTGTTAGATTTCCCCCTTCATGTTTTGTGGACTTTGAAGATTAATTCACAGAACCCTTACCTAAAAAGTTTTGAGGTTGTTTTTTTTTCAACACAGACTGTTTTGGAAACTTGGCTTTATCAGTACGGAATTCCTGAGCAGATTGTGACACTAAACAACTTTTCATAGCAGGATTTGATCTTGCCTGTTTTTAGCAGCCAATCCCATGAATAGTAGCAAACACTGCTTGGATGAAAGGTTGTTAAAAAGAAGTGTGTAAGTGGTGAATTCCAACAAGTCTCCTAGATTTGTTGTTTCACAATGACAGTTTGGGACAATGCAGGATTCATAACCTGTAATAGTGTAATTTAACAAATGATAACAGTAGCTGATTCAGACTAAAACTGGAGTCAAGTGATGAAAAGTATTGAAAGTGAAGCTGAAGACATTCTTAGTAATGTTGTCTTGTCTTTGACTTAAGTAATGTTTTCTTTTGTGACTTTTTAGACACACTTGTTTACATATTATATGTGATTTTTATGTCGGACAAGAATTTTTTTTTCTTAATTTTTTAACTCCTCTTCTTTATTTCTATATTTTGCAATTTCTGTTTCATGTATTGTATTCAAATTTGGTGGTGTGTTAAAAGAACTGTAATGAAATGATTTTCTCTCGAAGATTGAACAAGTTTTTTAAGATAACTTGGCCTACTAGTTTTTCTATATATATTTGAAAACCCCCATAAATCTTTAGCACAGACAGCAGCATATGGTAAGGGCCAAAGGGTTCAGTGAGGCAATACAGGGAAGATGTTGAGATAAGGTCCATACATTTACATATCACTTCTGGGCGAATTATGTAGATATGAATTCTGTGTTTGATCAATGACGGTTATAAATCATCTAAATTACTCATTTAAATTACTCATCCCCTTTATGTTCCTCCAGCTTTCATGAAGTATTTTGACAACCCCGGTGGCAACATCCCGACCTGGCTCATCAACTGGGCAGCCAAGGTGAGTTCAGATCGCGACTCATATAGTGGGTGGTTGGAATGTGACACTATTTTATTTTCTCTTAATATGGCTTGAGCCTAGACACTCTCATTTAGAAAAGACTTGGAATTTTACATCCATGCTCTTTTGATGCTGTAGTCTATGTGGTAGCTTCTTGTATATTGTTGCGCAAAAAGAAATACAGAGACTGAAATTCTCTCGGAGAAAAAAAAAACTATCCTTATCAGCTCTGAAGCTGGCCTTATATTACGTGTAATAGGGTCAACATTTTATGTTGGATAAGGTGTGCTGACAGTTCTCTTTTTCCTTGGATCCTGATAAGGCCTCTACACATTCCTTCAAATTCACATTCATGATAACTAGGCTCATGTGTCTTGAACTGGAAATTATGGATAGATTAATTTGCCAATATCTCAGTGTGAACTGTTGGTTGGTGGGGTTCGGGGGGTTTTTTGTGTTGTTGTTTTTTTTTGGGGGGGGGGGGGGGGGGTTCAGCCTCTCATCCTTTCCCTGAGATTTTTTTTTCCTTTTTTAATTAAAAGTTTTAGTAAGAGTTTTACAGCAGCTGCAACACAATGAGGTCATATAAGTGCCGAAGATTTGAGGTGTTACAAGAGAGTAACAAACACAAAAAAGAAGGAGGGGAGATAAAGATGACAGATGTTTGATAGGAAAGAAGGAACAAACCACACCACAGCGCCCCGCCAACCACCCACAGATTTTATTTTCATAATTTCACTTTGATATTTCGCTGTTGTAATTAGTTCACAGGGATTGTTTTTAGTTGAGTTTCAGTTGTCTTTTTTTGTATCCTGTGGGTGTTCAGAGGATGCCACTGGTGGTAAATTAAATACAGGTATCAATGGTAGCTATGAGTGAACTCCCTTTAGTTGTGAAGCTGGTGACTGTGAACCTTGTTTTGTTCTTCAACTCACAAATCTTGTTTTGATTTTGATGTTCATCCTGAGGCTTCTCCTGTTTACCTGTTGATGCTCGCCCCTGTCCGCAGTGGGTGGTTGGCGGGTGCTCGGGTGTGGTTTTCTCCTTCTTTCCTATGAAATATCTATGGTCCTTATCTCTCCTTCTTTTTTGTGTGTATGTTACTCTCTTGTAACACCTCTAATCTTCGGCACTTATATGACCTTATTATGTTGCAAGTGCCGAAAAACTCTTACTAAAACGAAAACAAGACCTTATGCAGTTGTGAGTGGCGTAAAACTCTTACTAAAACTAAACTGAAACCTGTCCACAGACGGGAGTGCCGCAGTTCCTGACCACCATGCACAAAGCTTGCCGCGGCTATCCGGATTTTCTCAAGAAAAAAGAGCAGCAGCAGAAGAGCAGTTGACCTCCGCAGCCGTCTAACCTGACTGAGGGCTTGTCGTTTGTGTTTGACCATTATTATTATTGTAGCAACAAGTGATGAATGGTTTTGGAACTATGAGAAAAATGTGGTGGGCAAAGGAGAATGATGGTGCCTAAATCCTGTAGATGTTTGAATGTTTTGTTCCTGTTCTTACTGCTTTTAGGTGATGACCTTGTGTGTGGTATGATGAGTTTTGTGCATAATCATACAATATATCTGTCTGTGTAATAAGAAATATGTAGACCTTTGAATTGTTGGTTTTGCTGATAAATCACCTTTTCTTTCTTTTTTTTTTTTGCGGATAAGCCATCTTTTCTTTTTATTGCTGATAAGCCTTCTTTTCTTTTTATTGACCTGAGTTTATTGGTCGGGTGAGCCATTAATTTTTTTAAAATTTACACCAACTTGCCATGACATTTTTAAAAGTTTAACAAAGCTAGAGATTGGCATACATTTTTATATGATGTTTCAAGGATGTGGTAAGAGGGAAGAAATTCTAATGAAATTTTTGTCTCGATTTTTTTGAGTGACACAAGTTTGTTTTTTTGTTTATTGTTTTTTTTTGGGGGGGGAGGGGGGGGATTTTTTCATAGCAATTGTAAGACACTTTGTATTCTTCTTTTCCATATTTTTATAGGGCCACATATTTACGTGAGTATACATGAATGTTGTCCCCGTGTCTGTCTAAACATGACTGCACACACTCTTAGAGCTGTTCAACAGTGCTAGTCTTCCTTCAACTTGAAAACTTGAAGAATGGTGTGTTTAGAGTAGAGGTGTTTGGAGACAATTCTTGTGCTTTCCCTTTTGCTTGTGAGAGAGTTAAGTTTGGCTGGGGGTTTTCTTTAGCCCAAGCCATGTCTTTTGAGGTTATGGTATAGCTTCAAAGTTTGAACTTTAGGTTATGGATTGTTGTTGTTTTTTTTACAAACTCAAAATGTTTAACTTACATCTCCGGCCACTGCGGTGTATTTGTTTGATTAACTTGGTCCTGTGGAGAGGTTTGAGGTTCAAATCTTTTCTTGTCCATCCTAGAACTAGAATGTTTGTTTTTTCCTTTGGCCAGGCGTCCTGAAAGGGGACCACCTGCATTTTCCTCAAACCAACCTCGTTGTGCCTCCGTCGTCAAGACGACAACTTGGAATTTTGTTGTGGAAAAAGTGAATTACAGTGGAATCCACGTGAACTGAAATCTGCCAGACGGCTGGATTTTCCTTGTAGCTTAAGATATGTTTTCAGTTAAGAAAGATTGCTCAAATTGCTAAAAACAATTTGGGATTCTATTTTCTTTCAGTTTATCGCTCTTTTCCGATTAGCCGTGTTTGATTTAAGTGGACTCTACTGTATTTCCGTTTCCTGAACAGAAATGATCTGAGTTTTAAATCAAAAGAAATGCTGATTTTTATAGTAGTATTGATATTAATGATATCCATGATGAATATTTCTTTTTAAGAAACGATTTTACTTCAGGTAAGTACTTGATCATGATAAAGTGTTACCTACCTCAGTTGATGATCCCCACTCAAATCTTCTCTCCTGTGATCTGTCATGGCCACAAAGATTGCGAACAATCAGCCTTTATTTATATATTGATTGATTGAAAGAGTGCTTTTGAAAGAAGTGTATTTTCAGAATGATTTTTAAAATGCTTTTCATCGTCATGAGATACAAAAAGTATTCCTAGGGATTGGGTGAAGTCACCCAGTCTATCTCTATGTTGTGTCTATAACAGTTAATGTGCAATTTTTGCAATAAAAATTCTTTTATTTGTAGCTTTCAGAATTTTTTAGCTTCTATCATCTAATCATGAGGCAATTTGTTTTTGTCAGCACAAAGATTTCCCATTATTGTAGTCTATCTGTAACGATGAGAATTTTAAAAAAATATATATATTTGGTCTGCTTCTTCATAAACTGCGACCACGCTCCCATTTTCCATTTGTCCAGTCCAGTTAGTGCCATCGAAACTCGTTTACTTTCATTTATAAAGGCAAAGGGTGTTTCTCCATTTTGAGAACATTTCAAAGTGTAATGCAATGATAGTCAAATTACCTTTACTTGCTTACTTTCTAACAAATACAATACAGCACAACACAAATTACAATATAATACAAAACAACACAATATACAATACAAACAACACAATACAATAAAACAATACAATACAACACAACACAATACAAATTACAATATAATACAAAACGACACAATAATACAATACAACACAATGCAATAAAACAATACAACACAACACAGTACACTATTACCAATACAAATCAGCTGCTCAGACAGTCTAAGATTTTGAAAAGCCATGTATGATAGATAGATTCTTACTCTGAGCAGTCAAAACATTTTGTGTTATCAGTCTGTGTTCAGTAAGTTATAACTGTATAACATCTTAGTCTTAGTTTTGTTAACTTCTGAATTTCAGAGATTTTATGGCATGAGATCTATTTTTCATAACTCTACATGTCTACTACATGATGTACTGATGATATTTTCACTTTCTCTGTTCTGTGATGTAATGTCTGTTTTAACTTATTGTCTAAGCTTTTACTTTACAGGGCACAATAAAATTGTTATCTTTACAAGTATTCACAAGTTCATGTATGTTATTTAAGTTAGTCAGCCTTTGGGGTTTGTATCAATATGAATGTAATTTATAATACCAAAGAACATTGTCTGCAGTGTCCTATAAAATTAGATGAAAAAGATGCTGCGCCTATTTTTTTTGGAGTTTTTTTTTCCGTTTAGATCTCATTGCATGTATTTTTGGTTCCATCTACTAGTATGTTGAAATAATATATATAGCAATAACAATCTTCATTCATCTCATCAGAGGAAATTTGTCTCATTCAATGACTATGGCGGTGGTTTCATTTTAAAGTTCATGTACTATGTTTTCTGTCGCATACCGACAAGTAAGGACGTAAATTTTACATATTGAAGCACCTCAGCTTTGTAAACTAAACATTCTCTCTCTCTCTCTCTCTCTTTCATTTGTAGTACTGTGTGTTCGGTAACTTCACTGAATTTGGTACTAGTTCATTCCTATAAATGTTTGTTTTTTCTTTCTTGGAAGTATGTCGTTTGATTGCTGATGGATGTTGAAATTTCTATGTCAGTTGAAGAGAGAGGTATATACAGATCTCATGTGTTTTAAAAGATTCACATTGCTTTTACGGACTGTCATCATTTCTTTTAAATAGAATACTCCCAGTATTTAAGAGTAAAGAGTATATGTGTGGAAAAAACCCAGAAAACAATCATGCTTTTTTTTGTAATTTGTTGTTGTTCTGGACTTGTTGCTGTAACTTGATCTGAGATTATATATCAGAGCTACCTGGCAGTGACAGGCATCTGTGTTGTCACGAGTTTGATTCCAGTGCGGGAGAAATTTTATCTATCTGTCTTCTGAAACTGTAACCCTTTCATTTAGCCAGGGTTGGCTCTCTCCGACAGGGTTAAAGCAGCTCATCTCCTGAATTATCTAAATTTTGTCAATAGAGGCATAAAACATCTACAGTTACTATAGACCTATTTTCTAGCATAATGACTGACGTCACAAAGTGTATAAAATACTGTCAGGATCATTACCTACCCATCTCAATTCAAAGTCTCATTTATTAATTAAAATCAATGCAGTTCATTTCTTATATTTTAATTGATTGGTGCCACAAGTGGAAAGGAAGTTCACAATACTGGCACAAGACCAGTCTCTGCATGAAAAGTGAAAGTACATTGGTAAGGCAGTATGGATTCATTGTCCTTCATAACAATACAAACAACCAACATGTATGTGGAAACACTCCTCATAAAAAAAGACTTTTCACTATCATATATCACTTTGGAAACGGAAATTCTGAGGTACAATCATATCTCAAATAAAAAACTTACTAACCAAACGTTCATCAATATAATACGAATTTGCTGTCTGTACACAAGCAGTTGGATTACCAAATACCACAAGCCATAAACAGAAAAAGAGAATCTAACAAGGAAGTAGCAGCCGTCACAGGAAGTCAATGTACTTTTCTGTAGTAAATATTGTAACAACGCAACCATGTACAACTGTAGTTTCAATAAGTAGTACTCTCAAAGACACAAAAAACTGGACTGAGGTACAATGACTAGGGACAGAACACAGCAAACAAAAGAAAGAGGAATAGTAGCTCATGACATATCAAGGAAAATAAGGGTAAACTAAACAGCACTTTGGGCATGAACTGAAACTGTCCCCGTGGTTTTATGCACCCCATATAATTTAGCAAAATTTGATATTTTTTTGCATAATTTCTTATTATTTTCCTTTATCATTCTTTGATAAAAATTAACAGAATCGCATAATTTCACATTTTGGGCTCAGTTTGCATAATTTCAGAATTTTTCTTGCATAAAACGACGGGGACAGACTGAAAGTAAAAGTGACTGTCGACCGTCAGCATCATCAACATGGCGTCTAAAACACAAAGCAGTGGCTGGTTCTGGTTAAAAAAAGTTTGATGAGCAAAGCAGCTGATAGATAGAGATCTAAACATTCGAGAGTGGATTTATGCAAGACAGTTGACAACTGAGAGTGGGTAAAATTAAACATTCATTAAGATTTCAGACCTCCTTGAGACAAAAATAAGGAAATGTTTTAAAAGCTCAGAAGAAAAAAATTTCAGATCTTAAATTGTACTGGCAGACGAATGTAACCATAAATGGAACAACATCTGGATAAGTATTTCATTGTAATTATAAATGTTACACTTGCATTACTTGCATTGCACAAAAATACCTGATCTTTTACAGTAAAAATAGAAATGCAAATTGCTCTTGTGCTTCTCCTCTACTCTAAAACAACAAAGTATTTTGAATCAGTCGTAGTGACAACATAAAATGTATTTAAGGCACGGTAACACTAATTCGTAATGCTTCACTTCATGGAAGAAAGAACAGTGAGAGGAACCTACAAAATCTGCCTTCCCTTCATTTTGTGCCATGAGACAATCAATAATCAAAGCAGCTCATATATTGCGCGGAGTGCAAAGTCGGTTCGTGTTTTGAGCAAAACTATTAAAGCAATATTTTACAATAAAAAACAGTATATTTTTAAGTGGATTTAAAAGTACTTGAAACAATTTTCTGAATCACTCATACAACTGATAATGAAACTAAATGCTAAGAAAAACTGATTCAGTTTAAAAAAAAACAAAATTCTCACAGATCATTGTCTACAATTCTACAACTACTTTTATTTGCCCCCCCCCACACACACACACACACAAATCACAATCTATAACAAGACAAACATTGTGAGGGGCACGTATTAGAAAATAGAACAATAGAAATATTTTCATTTCTTTGGTCTTCAAGTCATCTGTAAGATATAAATAATCCTCTCCGTTCTCCTAAAACACGACTGAGCCTTTCAATCTACAATTCTACCATACTTTTAAAGGCCTCCAAATCACATATACTGACATCATATACCCCGTACATGAAATTCATTCAAGCTTTAGTTAAGATAAAAGGCACATTTGTAAAAACCATAGAGAAAGGTATCACAAGTGGAGAAAACAAAATTGTTATAAGTTGGGTAAAAGGCAAACAACAAAATGTTTTGTCTTTTCACTTTGGAATGTAGTACCGCGAGGGAACAAACGGCATCTTCGACACCTGGGCGTCCAGCATTTTTTGCCGAACCTGAATTTTGACTTTTGTGCCGTTCTTTACAAACGGTGTTTTCACATAACCCATGGAGACGTTGACCTTGAGTGACGGGGAGGGGCAGCCACTGGTTGTCTCCCCTATCACCTCAGACCCATCTTCTGTGTAGATTTTGGACCCACCTAAGAAAGTAAACAGTGAAAAAGAAATTCTTTTTTTTTTTTTTTGTAAGAGTTTTACGGCACTTGCAAAACAATAAGCTCATATAAGTGCCGCAGGTTAGAGGTGTTACAAGGGAGTAACAAACACAAAAAAGAAGGAGGGGAGATAAAGACGATAGTTGTTTGATAGGAAAGAAGGAGCAAACCACACCAGAGCACCCTCCAACCACCCACAACCACTTCACTGCACAAGCTGGACAGTCCATTAGCATATATATATGAGCCTTTCAAAACCTCAGCACAGAAAGGAGGACACAAGGCATCAAAATTCAAAATGAGACAACAGCCTCAAAATAATGGAGTTTCACAAGATTTCATTATGCATTTTCAGAAAACAATACTGTCCAGGAAACTGACACTTCAATTAACAAAATTTCGCTGGTTTTTTTTAAGGAAAGCTGCTGCCTGAGATGCCTTGCTCAAAACCAGAACATATAATCAAATGGACCAGCATGAGCACAAAAGCATTTGAATTAGCACGTACCTCGAACGGGAACTCCTGACGAAATAAAACCCACTCTCCGACGGCTGGGTTTTGCCTTGATCTGATCAAGAATAATGGAAGCCCCTGGGAAATCTGCCTTTGGTCGACGAGTTTTGCCTAAATAAAAATAGAAAATATTCCAGTTGTAATTTCAGTATATGTGTCACGTGGTGGTGGATCGTCAATTTCTGGGCATGTGGAGTTATTCATGGTGTCATCTGAAAGCTTATTTATTTGACTTGTTTTCAATTTTTTAAAATATCCATCTAGCTTGAATAGATTAGAAGTCGAGATATTTGCGATTGAAGAAGGTGAGGTAGCCTGGTTTCAGTGGTTAAATTAATGAGAAAATGGCCGCCAAAGTTTGGTAACTTTAATAGCTTAAGAGTCCTTGAAAATGGAAAATGACATAGAAAATCTACTTTGTTCCTCTAACTTTAAGGTTTTCAGTAAAATTCACATGGAAATGTGCGTTCATATGAACATAAAAGGTGTTTAGCCAAAAAACATAATTTTGATAAAAATTACCAAACTAATGGAAAAATGCCTTTTTCTTTGAGTTAATTAACTTTTTTACGGTATTTTGACGAGCACCTGATTTCACCTCGATGCCTCTCATAATATGATTCTTTACAAGTTGTGAGGACTAAAACTAAAACATGTAGCCTGTGTCATCATAAAACGCTTTTCTGATTGAGTGTGCAGACCCCATGTTGATTACAAGAGAGGAAACTCTCTTTTGTGTCCCAGTAACCAAATAGTCCAGGCCCATTATACCGTCAGCCTTGGGACAAGCTTTCAGTTGGTGGCATAACGAAGTTCTAATGCTGTCCATTGTTCAATAGCAACAATTGCCCAACGTCAAGGGAAATGATTCTGCCACAACTATACGAAAGGCAATATCATGGTGAGTTATTTCCCTTTGTCCAAACCTTGGCCTTGAGGTTTCCTGCATGATGTGACAAACAATTACTAGCTCATAGAGTCATGTGTGGGAGAAATAAATATAGTCAAGCGCAGTTGTAGATTAGTTGCCGTGATTAGTGTTTACCTTTGGCAGTTAGCAATGTTGCTGGGCAAATGTATATACTTGGGTGGTGAGCGAGGCTGGCAATAGAACAGGGGTTTATGTACATATATATTTGTGTATTTCAACAGGAAAGATAGGCCTACTAACTCATCCTGCATTTTCAATGAAAAACTATTTTTAATGTTAAAAGTAACCCTGCAAAGAAGAAAACTTTCTGACCACACCAATGCATTAACCAACCCTCTACCTTTCATTTACTGTAAAGTTGGGGCTATTGAGCTGAGGAAAAAAGTCGCTGCTTATAGCCTGAACTTCACTGTAATCAAGTTTACTACCCTTTCAAAAACAAAGGGAAGAAATAGGCCCAGATTGGGGGGAGGGTGGCAGTTAGGTGTGTGTGTGTGTGGCAGTTGGGTGGGGGGGGGGGGGGGGGGAGTAATAAATAAAGTTGTTTTGACCACAAAGAGCAACTCACTGACTAGCCAGGTCAGGCTTGCTTCAATGGGGGAGGTTGTTTGGTCGATGTCATTGCCGTAGAGACACAAGCCCGCCTCCAGACGAAGACTGTCTCTGGCACCGAGACCGATCAGTCGGACAGACGCGTGAGAGGAAGACAGGAGAGACGACACAATACTCTCTGCATCTGTCTTTGGAATGGAAATCTGTGGAGAACAAAAATGTGTTGTAGTGGTAGGCATTATTCTATTTCTGCAAAAAATACTGCACTGGTCTATATTTCAATCCCTCTGATAAAGGCACATATGACATACACATACATCCAAGGGAGGTAAAAAAGTGCCAGTTGCAGGGAGTGAAAGTAAATGTTGGACATTCTGCACACTGTTGCACTATTTTGAGTTGCTTTAGCAGTCCCGGTCGTTTTATGCAAGAAAAATTCTGAAATTATGCAAACTGAGCCCAAAAATGTGAAATTATGCGATTCTGTTAATTTTAACAAGAATGATAAAAGAAAATAATGAGAAATTTTGCGAAAAATGATCAAATTTTGCTAAATTATGCGGGGTGCATAAAACCATGGGGACAGCTTTAGGTTTAAGTGTTGTGTCTTCACAGTCACAGCCTCCTCTTTCTTTTTAATCTGAGACTGGTTTTGACTTCTGTTACGAGTCATCTGTAAAAAAAAAAAAAATTTAAAAAAAAAATATTAAAAAAAAAAATATATATATATATATATATATATTCCTCTTCAGCACATAAAAAAAAAATACAAAGCTGTTAGTCCTAAATCCCACAAATCTCACAAAATATCAGCAGGTATTGACGTTCAGAAGTATGAGAACAGGAAAGGCACAAAATGAAGCACAGTTACCTCCACTCCATCTTCTCCCGTGTAGCCACATCTGGTTACCCGGCAACCCTTCACCCCAAACACAGTCGCTGACGTCGTGGTCATGAATGGCAGAGTTGTCAGATCAAAGTCTACGCCTGGCTGCAACACTGAAATAACTTCTGGACCTAAGAAAAAAAACCCAAACAATTTCTCATTATCCTGTGGTAATAGTTAAGATCCAAATATTTAATAAGTGGTACTTTAACACAACTAACTTTTTTAAAGATAGAAGTTAAAACAAATATATGTGAGTAACTATGGTGGCATTTGGTTTGGGAACAGTTATTCTGTCCCCGTGGTTTTATGCATCCCGCATAATTTAGCAAAGTTTGATCCTTTTTAGCATAATTTCTGATTATTTTCCTTTATCTTTCTTTGTTAAAATTAACAAAATCGCATAATTTCACATTTTTGGGCTCAGTATGCATAATTTCAGAATTTTCCTTGAATAAAACGACGGAGACAGGTTATTTGAGAAGTGCAAAAACTAATCTAAATAACTTAATGCTTAAATGATGTTCAAAGACACAACTGAACATTTCATAATCCTCAGGACATAAAAGTCATAACAAAACCCAAACTTGCTCCAAATTCAACATGTAAAACATAAAGTGGCTTTATCAAGGTAATCTTTAAAAACTAAGGACCTTAAGATAGTTTACAGTAGGCCTATCATGTTATAACTTTCCATATTGCTGAAATGTTTAAATAAAAACAAAGACCACTTTTCATGGGAAGAAAGTTAGGACAATAGCAACACTGAAAACATCAGGTATGAGAAGCAGACTATACCGAAGACCTCGCTATTCACCTGCATGAACGTTCCAAGTGATGATAAAACAAAATTGCAGCTCTACCCCATCCCCAGGTTATTGTTTACACACAAGAACTTTTAAACTTTCATTCATCACGGTACCATAAAATCCTGGTGAAAATATACTCCCCCTCCCCTCCTCTATTTGGAACTGACTTGACCTAGTGCACACTCTCTATAGGGCGCCATGACATAATTCGTGAAACAGGCTTTTAACCCTTCCAGCCCCAGTCACTTTTGTGCATTCCCAGTCCCAGCCAATACAGCAGTATTTCAGAAAAAGAGGCAAACATTCTAAAAAGTGATGGAGTATCTTTGTAATGAGGTTTAGATAATAACAAAAAAACATTATTTAAAGGTACATGAACAAATAATATTACGAAAATTAAAGTTTAAATAGGTTCGCTAATTTTTTTTTATGTGCAAATTTGGTACCCCCCGAAACTGAGAATATACGCTCTTGGGACGGAGGGAGGTACAAGCGCTGCTGAAAATATACACGCATGGGGCTGGAAGGGTTAACTTTTAATCTATTTTAACACTTGGGGGGTCGAAACTGGCTTTTACCATAGTCCTTTACCCCTTGGCTAGGTCCTTGACTCATGACATTACACTTCCTATACATGAACACAAGGGGGAAAAAAAAATAATAACTTGACCTTGCACGGCAATCAAAGCATTGTCAATGGGAGACAACTTCACATCCCGACCAGCAGCTTGAAATTCTGATTCTCTGGCCTGCAAAAACAAAACAAAACAAATTATAGAAATAAGAATATGTCCTATACAATGACAATGACAATGACAATCTTTATTCATCTCGCAGGGAGAAATTTGTCTTGGTCGTTAACAATGGCAGTAGACGTTACAAAAGTTAGACTTAAAGGTGAACTCACGCAAACGCACACCAAGACAGGACATTATGCCAAGTAAATACATGTCTCATGGGCTGGGACAACCCGCTCCGTAACACATTCATTCTCTCTCTCTCTGTTTCATTTGTAGCACTGTGTGTTCAGTAACCTCACTGCAATTGGTACGAATGAATTTCTATATCTGTCTGTTCTTGCTTTTTTGGAAATGTATCGTTTACTGCGGGTCGATAGTTGAAATTCCGATGTCAGTGGGTGGCTATGGTCACTAAGCATTATTTCCGCCTTTTTTTAGAACGTTTGTCTTGTGCAGATTCAAAGTTACTTAGGTCTCTACCAATTGTTCTTGATGCCTTTTTTATCAACTTATTTAGTTTTATAATGTGCTGCCTTCCCAGATTGCTACCATAGCAAGTGATTCCAAAATTTATCAAAGTTTCTATTGTGGTGGTGTAGAAAATCTGAAGGATGGATGGATTCAGATTGAAAGACTTTAGTTTCCTCAGAAAGTACAGCCTCTGATTTACCTTTTTAACGATATTGTTTACGTGGTTTTGCCATGTAAATTTGTTGTCTATTGTAAGGCCAAGATATTTGTATGAATCCGTGAATGTGTGAAATAGCAAAAGAGTTCAGCTATCTAACAACATAATAATAATATCAATATTAAAACAATCAATGCTAAAGTCTTTCATTAAAATTTGTTTTACATTTTTTCATCAGCATTTATCACCAACACTTGCCTGCATGTGTTGTACTGATAGGCCTCTTGTCAAGATAAACGACCAGAAAAGGCAAAGGGCAGTTGTAGATTTACTCTGATGCCAGTAAGCATACATATGCAGATATTAATTGCCACAATAATGAAATCAGCTCTACAACCTTTCAACAAAGGTTTAAAAAATGCATAATTACACTACAAAGACAAACGCACAAGTATTTGATTCAAATTCTGCTTAACAAAAAAAAGCATTCAGCCTGAAAACTGTTAACACAGAATACTAATAAAATATCTTAAAAAGAAAAACCACAAACCTTCATGAGGGCAAAGTCTTGGTCGGAACATCCTGCGTTTGAGACGACGTACAGATGGCCATCATCGATGTTGTTCACGATCAAATCATCCAGTATTCCTCCTTGCTCATTGGTGAACACTGTCAGCGTGCCCTGGTTGTCTTTTAACCCTACACATAGCAAGAAAAAAACAAAACAAAATTGTAACACAAGTCAAGCAACCTGTTGGCCTAACTTAACATCATGTCATTGGTTGAACGCATGTACTGACCCAAAAAAAGGACACAGTGACTAAATAAATAAACAAGTCAGCAGCCCATGGAGGGAAGGGGGGGGGGGTATTGGGATTCGGGAGGGGGGGGGGGGTGAGATTTTTATCTTATCAACACAAAGGTAAAAACCCCTTTCCTTTTATTGGATCTGTCGCCGTAACTTAACAGCATTCATGATTTACTGTAGAGTTCTTAGTATATATCCTCAAAGCTATAATACAACTACCTTAATCAGTCATTATTTTCCGGTTTGTAATTATTGGAAAGGTGAAAAGGAGTGTTCCCTTTTTCTTGTCATCAAGGGAGCAAAATATGTAGGCCTACTAAAAATTCAGTTATAGAGATAAGTCTTATGGATGGCTTGGAAACACTGTACAAAAGTCTTCTCGAAACAATGCATTGTACCATTCAACTCAAAAACTGATAGAATCAAAAAGAGCACCATAAAATCAGTAGCACAGGATTTAGAAACCTTTATTCTTCAATCTCCTTTTTTAGCATAATTCTAAGGAACGTAATAGCTATGCAAAGTCACCAGCATGTATGGATTATAAATTTGTTGAAGAATTTCAAACCCAGAGACACAAGCACATGGCAACAAAAATTGAGAATCAGATAAATCACATATAGGTGTCGAGCATACCCTCAATATCTGTAACAACGAGGCTTTCCATATAGCTCTTTCGATCATTCCCATCCACTCTCGTCTGCAGCATGTGAGAGACATCAAAAATACCAACAGACCTGAGAACAATCCAATGAGAATTAACTCAACTGTCAAGCACATTAAAAAAAGACAGAATGCATAATGCCCAATAAAAACAGAGAGCATCACTTCCAAACACACATTTATAAGATGGGATGCAAAATTCAAGGACTCCGTTATTTCACAATAATTTGAAAAAGAGACTTCACTTGAAGTTATCAATTTGAAAAAGAGACTTCACTTGAAGTTATCGATTTGAAAAAGACTTCACTTGAATTTATCACATTTATAATTTAAAATGGCGACATTATTTCAAAGCATTAATGTGTAGCACCAGATACGGACTTGCACATCAGTAACTGAATATGGAGCAAGGAGATTGAGTATGGAGTAGGGAGTATGAGTATGGAGCAAAGAGCATACACATCAACAGAGTCCTGACAAAAGCGCTATAGAAGACACTATTCCATCACAACAGGCAATGGTATTGGTGCTATATTGGACTACACTTTGTATCTTCTCATGATGCCAACTAGGCCAAGGCATGCCAGGAAATGCCAGTTGCAGCAGGTGCATGGAAATGGCTGATGTTCTTCACTCTTTTAGTTTAGTTTAGTAAGGTTTTACGGCACTCACAACTGCATAAAAGGTCATATGAGTGCCAAGGGGAGGATGTCAACAGAGAAGTCCAAACGAGGAACCAGGCTTACTCTGCTCACCTCTCTAGCTTCAACAGCACAAAGTCTGCTTCGACTATCAAGGCACCCGGGAAATAGCAGTTCACAAGAGAGTGACAAACATACAAAAGAAGTAGAGGAAAAATGGCGATAGTAAGGATGAGGAAAGTAAAAGCAGCAGTTCCCCCTATGCTATGTTGTTCTGGCACTCTGTTGCATGGTCTTGTGTCTCTTAAACTTAACTCTTATCAGCCAGAATTGATTTCATGGATTTTCTTAAACAGCTACCATTAAAAAAATGTATATATTATTATATGCCTTCAAGTTGCAAATTCTCACAAAGAAAAGAAGTATCACCATGTCTACTTCAAACGTGACCAATGTTATAAACATGCATGGATTTGGAGGACCGGACAGAAATGTGTGTTTAATTTGGGCAGGTGAAAACGACATACTATATTGTTTTGGAAAAAGGAGGTAAACCAAAACGACACACAGCGTATCGTTCTGGCCGACAGGAGTTAAAGCATACGTTACAGAGCGGAGAATAACGTTAAAATCCACAGAAATAGATGACTGAAACAATACACTTAATATAGCGACAGGACATAAAGGGCTGCGTGAAACTACATTTTCTACACAAATATAAAATGCCAGAATTTCACCACTTTCTCTAGATTTGAAGACTATTCACCAGTAGAATCTTACAGTAAAACAACAAATTGACACGATATAATGGCGGGCGTACTTTCTCACTTGAAGATGTTCCTCAGATATTCCTGATTTATACTGTACAGGCATTTCCCATCCTGCAAAGGGAACCATTTTTGCTCCTTGAGAAAGATGAAAGTCATACAGGCATGTTCTTTTGAGGCTTTCAACCTGAAAGAGTTAAAAACACATGAAAATATATGAGAAGAATTCTATTACTGATCTTATAAAACTGTAGAGAAATTACGTAGAGCATGGTTTTTTAAAAAAAACTCATTTTGATTTAATGACCAACCTCTAACAAAAATTAACACATTTACTTACATTTAGCGTACAGGGCACATTAAACATTTTCAGTTGGTAGGAAATTTTGAATTTTGCCCATATGTGGCTAATTTTGGACCACCAAAGGATCTTTAACATGCGCAACTTGCACACACAGGACCTCCGAGATTTTTCGTCCTTGCCCGAGAAGAGGAAGTCCTAAGTAGATCTTTCCTACCATTAGATCAGGTGTGTGGCTGAAAGACAGCAGAAAGAAAGGAGCCAAGGAGTAGCAGTAGAAAGACAGCAAAAAAGAGTCAGGAGCCAAGAAGAGAGGGCAAAGGATGTGAGGGGGTGGGGGCAGAATTATATAAGCGGAGACGAAAGTAGACGATAGAACGTGTTTTGCTAGAGAGCAAGAAAAGATGTGAAAGGAGAACATTTTAAAGAAGGAAATTGTCCGTCGTTATCCGAATTGAACCCGGGACATATTGAATGAGGGGTGAATATATAACACTTTAACTTCTAGGCCATGAGAGCCCCCTCACACCACACTTTACTTTAATGTTAACGTACGCTATCCAGTCAGGGGATGAAATTTGTTAGCACTGAAATATGGTGGCAGGCTAGTATTTACCGTAAGTCAAGTAATTTATTTTAGTGATCCTGTGTATTCACCCAAAGAGAAGTTTTTAACATAGGGCCCAAAGAGAAAAACTTTTTTTTTTTAAATTTTGTTTCGTCTCTGGCCTGCTGTAGTGATATATGCAAAGTTTCAAGGGCATAGAGGTAAATTACAATAATTAATACATCAGCTAGAATTTTCTTAATGTGGACTGATGAAAGTGAACAAGCTTTATAGCCGTCTACTACGTTGAGGATGGTCGCGCAATACATAGCTCAAAAATATTATAACAGCTTTGGTGTTATATATAGTTGCGTTCAGTAAAAAATTAAGTAAGCGAGCTTATAGGCTATCGTCATTTATAAATGCTTCAAGAACAACAAAGACCACCTTAAAACATCTCTCATTTTCTGCCCCTGTGATTTCCATAAAATAAAATAAAAACTAAAACCAACAATTTCTGAGCTTTCAAGCTAAAAGCAGAAGCACTTAATAAAATGAAAGTGGCTATTCTCACCCGCCCGGAAGTTCTCGCAAGATCAACTCCTCCCCTCTTCTCTCTCTCTCCGTCTCTTTCTGAATACTGTCTATCGGTGTGGACGATCAAATTGACCAAAACAAAGTTAAAAAATGATGTTAAAACACAAAAGTAAATAAATTTGGTTGTCTACAAAGATGCTACGGCTATTTAACTTTTTGAATCGAGCCGAACTATACTATGCGGGTCGCCATTTTGTTTTGCCCGGAAATTCTCGCGCTACTCCTCTCTCTCTTTCTCTCTCTCTCTCCACTGCCCACAGACAAAATTGTACGCTTTTAGTAGGCTACAATTGTAATGGAACGTTTGTTCATGGCACAGAATTCTACAATTTTTCTGTTATCACAGTGTAGAATTCTGTGGTTAAGGGTGAACGCAAAATTCGGTGAACGCGCACCGGGTGAGAATAGCCACAAGACTCGCCTGCACTATTCTCACTCCGGGTGAGAATAGAGGTGGCCTAATAAAATATAATAGTATTATAAATAGGCCTAATGATGGAGCACCTCCTTCATTGACAAAATGATAATTTAGATATAAGATGTTGCAATGAAACTGCCGCTAGCATGGCATCAACACGACTTGTTCACTCATCTTTCCAGCCACTCCTAGGCCCCTTGGCTAAACTCCTATACTCCTACAACAAAAAAAGCTAATTAATTATCATATAAAATGGCTTATACTACTTTTTTGTAACTAAAGTTGTTGTTTTTTTTCCCTTTAAAAGCTATTCAAGAAAACATTACCTGGCTTGAAAATGTCCTAGAGAAAGCATTTCTGTACAGCTGCAGAAGTGTTCGATTTGTGATACACATGGTGCTTTTGGTGCTCTCAGCTGATTATTCACGGGTCTTGTTCTGCCAGCAGTGCGATCTCTGCGGGTTGCGGAACCCAGATAAGGCACTCTTCGGTTGCGTTGTCGTTTTTATCACCAGTGCAAATTTTCTACCAGGCCAGAAGGACCTCTGAACTTGAAATCTAGGTCAAGGTTGTGGGGTCATTGGGTTTGTAGAAAATATTAATTCTAACATAATATTATTATTTATAATCTTTATGCTTAAAAAACTATTCTACATTGTGTACTGACACATTTCAAAAGAATATTGTTACCGTTTTTATTTAAAGAAAACTATACACGTGTCAAGTTTTTCAATCAATAAAGCTCAGGCTAAAGGTCGAAGTTCAAATAGAAAATACCTGAATTTTGTATCGCATTCTATAAAGAAATATATTAATATCTAAATCAATTTCCGTTGACGCGGCGTGATCTACTTTAAATTTTACTGGTCATTTTATATTAGTCAAATACTTAATTATAGTGCCAAGATTACTTAAGATATCGAATTTGTGAGAATATTCCAGAATAATATCAATGCGATGTAAAACAGCGACAAGAATCCAGTACGTTTGCTATAAAAGACGATCAGCCAATCAAAATTGACAGTGTCTAATGGCAGCTACGCTTTGTGTGGTTGTGGCGGAAGTGTGTACATTTGCCGAAAAATGCTGTATCTCGAGGATTATTTAGAGCGTAAGTGGGACTGCCACTGTTTTTAAAAGTGAAATATCACTTTATGTTGTATGGGGTGTAGAAATGGTTGGCAAGATGTACCATTTAGGCCAAATTATTGCACTGCACAGAGTACCGGAAATAAACGAAACAACCGTACTTTCATTTTCTACTTTCCGCATTGTTTACCGTCTCTCTACTTTCACTTTCTTTCGTAACCTGTTATGGTTTAGAGATCAACCGTAGTCGCTTCTATTTTGTAATAACTGGAGTTCTATTTTATCCGTAGTTCTCCAACCTGTGCTGCATATATAGGCTTCAGCACATTCCACTTTAAAAAACAATGATTTTACAACATATTAAAATATAAAGTTAAAGTTATTCTGATAATTCTCTGCTACTATTCTGCTGCAACCTTATTTAAATCCCACAACAAC